AAGTACTTGACAGACAGGCATGAGAAGTTATGGCTCAGAATGTGTGCTTGCCAGACGGATTTTTTTTGGGGGGGTGGTTTTTTTTCTTTTTTTTTTTTTTTTTGAGATTGGACTCAATGATCTAATGATCTCAGAGGTCCCTTCCAACCGTGGTGATTCTGTGATTCTGTGCATCCATTTGCTACGTAAGGAAATTCCTTACCTTACCTCTGTCATCTCAGTCAGGCCTAAGTTGCTTGTATTAGTTGTTGTGGAGAATGCTAGATAACCTCATTTACCTGTGAAGGTAAGATGCCCTACCTAGCATTTGTCATAGCAGCAGTTTAATCACAAAAGCTAGAGCTCTTCATAAGCTATCGGCATTGTTTAAATGATTTTGTATTCCAGAAAGCTGATTTGGACATCATTCCTCCTATGTATTACTCTTTGGCTAATTATATGCTCTGTTGTTAGAAATGATTCCAAGCTGCAGGGAGGAAATTTCTATTGACCGCCAGGGAAATTCAGATCCAGACTTGGACTTTGAAACTAATTCCACTTTTAAATTACAACTAAAAAAAAGTGAAAAAAAGCAACAGTTAAAAGCATGTGATGGGAATAAAAACGAGCACATCTATCTGAACGTGAAACACAGCCCTTCTTCCAAGAAAGAGATGATGAGAAGAGAAACAACAGAGGAGAACAAGAACATCAAGAACAAAGGTAAAAGCTCTTAATAATGGGAAAATGTATGCATTGCTGAATAAACAGTCTAACAGATTTCGTGTCTGAATTAGAAATTTGCATTTGTATGCTAAAAATTTTTCTTTTCTATCCTGCTGTTGGAAGCTGGGAAGGGTGGGAAGTTCAAGGCAGGTTTAAGTTGGAGACTAGCAGCTGCAACAGAGTTAAGTAATGTGTGGACTAATAATTCCCATGGATGCCATATCAAAACAGTCATTATATTTGGATTTGGGACTCTTCAGCTGTAATCCTGAGTTGTGACTGATCAATAAGCCCCTACAATGGGAGAAGTCTCAAAGGAGATAGGCAAGTGCAATGTGCTTATGAAGTATACAGTGATTGAACGTTGCTGTCAGAGAGAAGGTTGAACTTAACGTTCAGGGGACCAGAGAGTTACCTTTTTTTAAGATTAACAGTTGCATCAATTGGGTTGATCAACTGGCTGTTCCAGTTGCGTGGATCAGCTGGGTATGTAAATTTTTGTCCATGAGTTAAGCAAGAGTGTGAATGTCCAGACCAGCATGGGGGCAGCATACATGGCTCAGCCTAACACAGAGTACAGTCATTGAACAACTGACAAAAAGAGTTTTGAAGAGAGCAACAGGCTTGAGCTGCTTAAAGCCATGTATATCTTCCTGGTGCCACCCAGGGTTGTGACAGTTAGCACATGATAGAGACTGGCAATGAGAATCCCATTTGTATTATGGTTTAGCTGTGCATTGACATTCCTTTATTCTGTAATTTGCACTTGTGTTGTGCTTTCAACATGTAATTGTATCATTCCGCTAAATCAGAATCCCGTGCAACATCCCATATCTTCAAATAAGTACGTTGGGTATTAAACATTAAATTATCCATGTGTGGAATATCAAAAAGAACCTGGTCAGACAGCATTGGACTCTGACACAAGTACAGCCTGAGGTAAATAGGCACTGCAGTTCAATGTAAGTTGTATTTTTAGAGTTGATCCCATTGAGAAAGCCTTACCTTTCTCACATCTATGTTCTTTTTCTCCTTGTTAGATTCTCCTGTGTCATGTACTACCTGCTGGATTATCACAGTCACCCTAGGGATCCTCTTCTTGGCATTGGTGGGAACAGTAGTGTTTTTTTTTATCAAGGGTAAATAAATCTCCTCCATTGAAAACATTGGATTTGAATTTAGAGCTTCGTCGGGGAGCAAAACAGAGCTTTTGAAATCCGCTCAGGGGTCCAAGAAAAGCATGGAAGTACCTTTTAACCATTAAAAAGGCTTGTTTCTTTTTTTTCTGAGATTTTTAATTGTTAAGCTTGGTCTAGTTAGACCTGCCCTCAGAATGAACAAGAAAGTAAGGGGTAGATGCCTTTGGAAGATCAACTGAGTAGATTTCAGTGTACAGCAAGCACACTGTGTTGGGTGCTCAGCCACTCGAGAGTATTTACATCCTAATGAGTACAGCTCCAGGCTGGAGGTCATAATCTGAAGGCCCATTTCTTTTCTGGGGATTTGGACATCAGTGCTGAGAGACAATGAACCCTGAGGTGTTCAGCGGCCATCCATGGGCTAATAGCATCAGCTGGTCTCCTGGAAGGAGAAGGAGAGTTCTTCAAACTGCAAGACCTCCATGACTAGCAGCTGTTATAAAATGATTCCTGTTTCTAGGAAGTTTAGGCCTTTTGACCAGGTTGTCATGAAATGCTGCGAAGCAGCAGTATTTCAGAAATGGCTACAGGATGTGCCCTAGCAATGGCCCAGTGCTAGTGGTGGAGCCTGTGTGGAAATGGGTGACCTGCCACAAACTTGTCAGGTTGCCAGGGCTTCACCTATCCCATTGAATAGAAGGAAGCACAGGTCAAAGACAACGTTTCTCTGGAGAAGACAGAACCAAAAAGGCAAAAAGGTGGGAAGAAAAAGGAAGGTTCCAAGAGACCCCCCCACAATCTCCCACCTATTCCCATGTGGGAAATGGCTGCCTTTCATATAGCCCTTCAGAGGCACTGATGCAGGTAATTACATTGTCTTTGACAGCCTCAGAAGAGCTCCAGGGATGGCATTACTGTAACTGTGGAGAATAATTTTCTGGAGAGGGTGTATTTGTGAAATGTGTTTGTGATGAACTAGGCTATGACTATGAATGGGAAGAGACACGTATGATTGTTTTGCAGGCTGTCCACGCTGCCCTGAGCAGTGGGTGGCTTACAGAGGGAGCTGCTACTCCTTCTCCAAGGAGAAGAAGGACTGGAATTCCAGCCAGCGATCCTGCTGGGAGCAGGGAGCTCATCTCCTGGTGATCAGCGATGCCAGGTATGGCAGCAGGAGATAAGGATGGGGCCCAGCCCTACCACTGAAAGGTTGCTTTTGTTGGGTTCCATTACAAATGGGGACAAGACAAACTCCTCTCTCGCCTTTGTCTTTTTTTTGGGGGGTGGGGGGATTTTTCAGGGCTGAGTTTCTGCTTCAGGCTTCACTTTCTAACAATGAACAGGAGTTAAAGGTTAGGCAGGAGGAAATGAGCACTGAAAACACGTAGGAGGAAAGATTGCATAAAATGTAATGAGCTTTGGTCCCGGGCTCTTTACACAGATCTGTCGGTGCCTACACTTTCTGCCCTGATCAGATTTTACCTTTAATTGATAATACTTTCTATTAGCTTGCGAGCTAGCTGCATGGTAGAGCAACAGTAATAGCAATAGTAGGAATAGGAATAGGAATAGGAATAGGAATAGGAATAGGAATAGGAATAGGAATAGGAGTAGCAATAGCACTAACATATGCTCCTACATAAAGCTCCGTGTAGGAAACTCCAGGAGGCTGGGGTGCAGTTGGTTCACGTGTATTGCCCTGAGAAATGTCCTTTGAAGAATCTGCCCAGGACCCCTGAAAGCACCCTTAACTCCTTGTGAGCTTCCACGTACATAGTCTTTATTCCAGGCATGATCTGTGGGGCTCATCTTCCTGATCAGAAGGTGTGGAGAAGCAATATTGTCAGCCACTTAAGGAACAGTCAGGAGAGGAGATGTATCTTGCTCTCTGTTCTCTTTCCTTACCCTTACCTCCATTTTCAGGCTGGCTTTCATAAGTCACTTTGCAATTTATCACCATTTCTAGGACCTGTTCCAGAGTATTCAGCCAGAATGTTTCTGGATTGGACTGAGGAACAGCACAGGCTCTGGCTGGATATGGGAAGATGGCTCTATACTCAATGGCACCAAGTGAGTTTAATTCTGTTTTAAAAACAACAGTGTGAATTCAGTTTGCCTGGTGTTCCACAACACCCAGAGTTCCTGCACCAGATCTCAGGAGCTTTCTTTCTGGGCTGATTTTCTTCTTACCACCACCTGTACAGCACTGAACTTGAAAGAACCGACTTTTCTGCTGCGCTGCACCTCGTAAAGGCACCTACCTGTGAAAAGCAGGGCTAATTCCAGTATCTCACTCTCTGTTGCCCTCCAGGTGCTCAGACCAAGGATTATTTGCCTGCACTGCCCACACAGTTGCTCAGTCTGAAAAGCACGTCGTCCACCTTGGCTTTACTGGGTTTAGCCACCTTGCACACATTCTGCCACGTGCTGGTGTCACTGGGTGCGAGGACCTAATCCTTTGCTGCTTTGATGGTGCCAACCCAAGTCAGAACCTTAATTTTGACTCCTTACTTGGACAAAACGCAGCATTCTGCAGGAGGGAAAACATTAGGAGTTGGTTCAGAGGCTTTGCCTGGCCCTTTCCTTTTTATGGCAATTAACACAATGTGTCAGTCTCCAACAGCAAGGAAACTTGCCCAAGATCTCACTGTTGTAGGTCAGCACGTAAGCGCTTGGCTTAGTTACCTTCTCAAATCCAGCTGTTCGTACAAAGTCCCTGGAGGCAGTCATCTTTCCATGGAGCTCTGAGCACCGTCGTCCTCATGCTGGTGGGTGTCAGGGTCACTGCAGGACATTGTGTCTGTGGCTGGTTCTGATTTGGGTTCTGCAGTGGCAAAATTACTGAGATGTTTAATCTCCCAGGTAGACAGTTTTTTGGCGTACATTTTGTTTTCTACCAGCTGCCCTTTGGAGGTTGGGTTCTTTCACTTCCTCTGGGCCCCACCCTTCAAAATCAGATGTTTTTTCTTTCTTGCCTCCAGGAGACAATTTCGGCATTTTCTTCCAGTCTCTCTTTTGTTCTGTGTCTCTTGCAGGGTCTCCTCCAACAGCCCTGTGCAACACTGCGCCGTCCTGATGAAAGGTCAATTTCAGGCCTCCAGCTGTCAATTTAATGCTCCATGGATCTGTGAGAAATCTCTTAGATAAAGCCCGTGTGCATTTTCATCTCATAACCATCTCATCAGTGGTGCAAGTGGATCATTCTCCTGCAAACCAAAGCCCTGCACAAGACCAAGGGCTTGCCCTTCCCACACCCTCACAAAGGTGCTTTGCAGGGACAGTCTTGTTGCCCGTAAGGGTGAGTTGTCCTCAGTGGTAGTTCCATTCCCAGGCCACACGTGTTGGATTGCTGCTGTTTGTGACCAGATGAGACCTGGGACATATTCCCTGACCTACCCCTTGCCTTATTTGTCCTATAATAGGCCATCAAAAGGTTTGTCACAACAGATACTGGGTCTTCAGATCTCATGTTCCTCTGTTCCTAAACATCAGATGTCATTTCCACTTCCTGCATCTCCATTGTCTGGTGCCAGCAGGACCAGAAAAATGAAGTGTGATGCTCACTGCCGGAAACATATAAACAGACTTCTCCCAGTGGCAGCCTCTTTTTTTGGCATCCCAGTGATAGAAGTGGGAGAAAAGAGGGTGAAATGAGACCACAACTTCTGTAAATCTCTCAGTGAAAACAAACCTGCAGTACTGCACTGGACCAAAAGTGTGTACCCATGTCATTTCTTCTCTCTGTTGGAAGGAACCAGCTGCACACCACGTTTTACAAGCCAGCTTCAACCAAACCAGTCAGGAGGCTGGACTTCTGGAGTCAAAGGAATACAGTTAGTTGTGTGTTATTATTGAATCAACCAAGAACGTGTTTCCCTCTCCAGGAACTAAAAGATTTGAGTTCTCATCTCAGATCATCTGGGTTACTTTGGGTGAGTCATTTTGTCTGTGCCAGAGTCCATTCAACTCTCAAAAGAAGATGCTGTCCCTGACTCCTAAGAAGTTGCCAGGGCCTATGAAATAGAATCATAGAATCATGGAACCATAGAATCGTGGAATTGTCTAGGTTGGAAGGGACCTTAAAGATCATCTAGTCCAACCATCAACCTAACTCTGATTAAAAAACCCCCAACAAAACCCCACATCACTAAGCCGTGTCACTAAGCACTCTGTCAACCCATCTTTTTAATACCTCCAGGGATGGTGGGACAACCTGCTGGAGCTGACTCCTTTTCATCAGGGAGCAGAGGGACTGGATGATCTCAAGAGTCCCCCTCAGCCTGAAGACAGGTGTGACAATTGCTTTCATCCAGTCCTCAGGTCCTCAATAACTATCCTGGTTGCCATTACCTTTCAAAAATAACCAGGAGTGTCCTTACAATTACATCAGCAGAAATGTTATAGTACGAGCGCTTTAACCCAATATGGAATCCATGGTGGTTAGTATATTTTGAACAATCTATAAGAAGATAGCAGCTCCAGTACTTCTCTACAGGAATCAGAAACCCAGCAACCTAATAGAGGTTTATGAGATGTCTCCCATAACAAGAGATTTTAACCAATTATTTCGATGTAAAGAATGAAAATATTGAGAAGTTGCCAGGCCCTATGAAATAGAATCATAGAATCATGGAACCATAGAATCATGGAATTGTCTAGGTTGGAAGGGACCTTAAAGATCATCTAGTCCAACCATCAACCTAACTCTGATTAAAAAACCCCCAACAAAACCCCACATCACTAAGCCGTGTCACTAAGCACTCTGTCAACCCATCTTTTTAATACCTCCAGGGATGGTGGGACAACCTGCTGGAGCTGACTCCTTTTCATCAGGGAGCAGAGGGACTGGATGATCTCAAGAGTCCCCCTCAGCCTGAAGACAGGTGTGACAATTGCTTTCATCCAGTCCTCAGGTCCTCAATAACTATCCTGGTTGCCATTACCTTTCAAAAATAACCAGGAGTGTCCTTACAATTACATCAGCAGAAATGTTATAGTACGAGCGCTTTAACCCAATATGGAATCCATGGTGGTTAGTATATTTTGAACAATCTATAAGAAGATAGCAGCTCCAGTACTTCTCTACAGGAATCAGAAACCCAGCAACCTAATAGAGGTTTATGAGATGTCTCCCATAACAAGAGATTTTAACCAATTATTTCGATGTAAAGAATGAAAATATTGTAATGTTACTTAGATGTAGTGACTAATTAGCATTTGCTGTACTGTGCAGAAAAAATATGTGGAGTATACATTAAATTCAGGTTCAGTAAATACTTATCACCAGGGAGATCCTGGGTATGGAATAGCACAGAATGAAACCTAGCATGACAAGACAAATCCAATATGGGCTTGCAGTAGGATTTTTGACAACACATACCCAAGCTTCCTATTACGAGGTGGAGAAATATGCCTCTTTTTTAAGTTCTTCAGACACAAACTTGTCAAACAGTCTATGCCAATTACAACACATACCCAAGCTTCCTATTATGAGGTGGAGAAATATGCCTCTTTTTCAAGTTCTTCAGCCACAAACTTGTCAAACAGTCTATGCCAATTAAAGATATCTGTAAAGCTTGCTAGGACAGAGAGCTCTTATCTTCTGAACACTGATGACTGGATTAATAGCCAGATACTCTATACTTAATTTTCTATTATACTCTTTCATCCTTGTTTGTATTAGATAACATAGCAGGAAATAAACCCCACCCCAAACCAACAATTTCCTTAGAATCATCTACTGGATTAGCAAAAATAGTGTTTTGATCACATAATTTTTAATGACTAATAAAAAAACATCAGTTATCATTTCTGCTGTACTTTATTTATACCAGAACAAAGCCAGGATTAGAAATCGGAGCAGGCTTTCAACCATTGTTCTGTGAAGCTTTTAAAGAAAGCTTCATACCTCCAAAAGTATTTATGAATGGCATCAAAGCATTTAGTGCTTTGCCTGCAGGAATTTGTGTCACCAACCTTCTCCTGCGACGTTCACTGGCTGGTGAGGGCCACTTTGGGGAATCTTATTCCATAAACATTAAAAAAAAAAAAGTAGCTCCAGCATGGCAGCAGGCCAAGGAAAAATCCTGTGAAAATTTACAATATATAACTCGTACATGTGAGCCTTTTCTCTAATAATTTTTAAGCCTTCAGGGTGCCCTCTGCTATCACAGTTAATACAGCAACATCAGACGCCCCCATGTGAAGAGAACACAATCCCTATATTTACATTACAGTGGTAATGAAATAATAACTAGAAGTCCCTCAAGAGGCTGTGCAGAGGGGAGGTAGGTCCTAGATAGCTGTCTTCTTCTCCCCGGACACCCTGGGGGTGGTGATGCTCTCTCCTGTTAAACCCAGGGGTTTAAGGAAAGCCTGGCCCCTCACCCCAAAAGCCTTTCCTCAGCCTCCTGCCCTGGAGCTGAGCCACCATTGCAGCTGAGGTGACTCCCCCTAACCAAAACCTCAGCTTTTCTCTCTGAAACCCCATTCAACTTTATTTGAGCACTATTTTATCTTCCCATAATCTTAATGCAGGGTTACGTTAGGACTGCAAAATTTAAGATAATTTGCATAATTTACTCTAAGGTATTTTTCTGCTGTCTGCTGCCATCCAGTCTAATAAGAAAGCCAATAATTTTCCAAGAAATTCTGGCAAAATCCGTTCAGGTATATATTCAATTATTTTTTTCAAAGATTCAGGCCTTTTTAGGCACTTTCAAAGATCATAAAGCCCTTAAACTGGTACAGTGCATCATTAATATTATTACCATATTAATTATTTCATAAATACAACTATTTTTTCTTTTTCCACACCTCCAGGCTGTGCTAAGACCTCTGTAAGACTTTTATAAAATCGGCTTTATAAGGATGTGTTTTTTATAAGGGAGTTTTTCTATTGATTTCATTGAATCATTGAAATTTTCCATTGATTTTGTATTTCCCCCAGAACCCCTTTTCCAAAAATTTTGCTGTCTAGGAAGCCTTGACAGACTTCAGGTGCTGGTAAGACCAGCAGTAGACTTGGCTTCGGGTTTTGAAGTATGGTGCTCTGTGTGGTTCTACCATGGAGCTGGGTCCAGACCAACGTTTAGTAGATGCGTAAGGAGAATGAGACCTTCTCTCTGTACAGAGTTCTTCTCTACAAAATAAGAATAGTGCAGGGCTGATATCTTTACAGGACTTACGGGTATGCATGAGATGAGATTGTTTTCTAAAAAGTTCTAAGGCAGATTTTATTTACTGAGGGCTGCTTTTAGTTGAGAATTATTAGATACATCAGAGGATCTGGTCTCTGCCTGGACTCACTATTTGTGGTCTAGTCACCAAAAAAGAGCGCTGTTTGTTTCCCCACAGGAAGCTGCTAACATTTTTTGTTCCCTGTAAAGAATTCAGTGTCTGTAAGAATTAGAAAAGCTTCAGGCATGGCAACACATTCTTATTCAGTCTGTGAGGTGTGAGCAGAGAGAAATGGTGAAACCTCTGCAGAGAGTGCCATAAGATAAATATGGGGATCATGGCATCACAGATGATGGTATGTGGGACAGTTACCAAGCAGCTACCCCACCACCCAAAGCAGCAACCTCAGGAGGTGTGAATGGCACGTGCAACACTACCCATCCTGGTGTTCACCAACTTCATGTGGAAGGTGAGGACACACAGGCTGTTGGAAGGTGCAACACATCATGCAGGCCTGGGACCTTAGGCACTGCTAGAGGGTTAAGTGAACACATGGGAGAAGCCATAACTTATGTCAAAGGGGTATTTGTTTGAAAAAGAAATTACTGTTTCAGGATTCCTGGAGATCTCCTTAGATCTCCTTGGATAGTTTTGTATTACCTTTGAATGACAGGAGAGAAATCTCTCCAATGTCTTTCTCTGTCCCAGACCTAGGTGCACCGATGCTGTAGGATGTGCCATCTCTGATGGTGATATCTTGAGGGGCCATAGATTACAACAGAGGAAGATAAGACATTCTATCCAGATGGCAGAGATGGGACAACAAGAAAGTCTGCTCAGTCACCCCATCCATGCTGCAGCATGCTCAGTCAAGGGGACACCACAGCGGAGAGAAAGGTGGCACTTTCCCTGCAGCTGGCTGGACGTGCTTGGCTTCCAGAAGGTGGGATGGGGCAGGCAGGGGTCACACAGCCATGGGAAGCCCTGAAACCAGAGCAGAGAAAGGTGATCTGCTCTGGGTGCAGACCTCTAGCACAGCCTCATGCCTTCTGGGGGCTGAGAGCGCTTATTGCTTATTTAATGCAGGGAATCACTGAAAAAAAATGCAGAACTGGATCTGTGAGGGACCAACAGAATCGCAGAATCTTCTAGGTTGGAAGGGACCTTAAAGATCATCTTGTCCAACCGTCAACCTAACTGACAAAAATAGACACCCGCACAACAAACAAGGAGCATCACCATCACTAAACCATACCTCCCAGCACTACATCAACCTGTCTTTTGAACACCTCCAGGGATGGTGCCTCAACCACCTCCCTGGGCAGCCCATTCCAATGCCTGATAACCCTTTCCGTGAAAAAATTTTTCCTAATATCCAGCCTGAACCTCCCCTGGTGTAACTTGAGGCCATTTCCTCTTGTCCTGTCGCCTGTGACTTGAGAAAAGAGACCAACCCCCACCTCTCTACACCCTCCTTTACCTGACAGTGTAGAGCACTCGGAGGAGATTTTAGCACCCTCAGCAAGTAAAATCTGAGTTTCTTTTGTTTTCAAGGTTATCTTATCCTTGTTTGTTATTTTGAGCTTTTACAAAGCCTGCTTTGGGAAGTGGACACCTTTGGGCATGTTCTCTCCCAGAAGGAAGGAGCAGCGTTCTGTCTCGAGGCTTGGGCAGACCAAGGCTTCTATAACAGCATTTGGAGTAGTTAGGACAGTGTTACTGATATGGCCCTTGTCCTTACCTCTGTCCCTTGTCTGCTCTTTGCTGTCTCAAGCTCCTGGTACAGAGGCCGTGAGTTCCTCCTTGTGTTAAACCTTAATCTCTTTGTCTACTAGCCCCCCTTTCCAGGGCTGTGGAGGAATCCTGGGCCGCATTCGTGTCAGACAGTGCAAACTGCAGCAGCACTTGTCCTTACCTCTGTCTGCTCTTTGCTGTCCCAAGCTCCTGGTACAGCGGCCATGAGTTCCTCCTTGTGTTAAGCCTTAATCTCTTTGTCTACTAGCCCCCCTTTTTTGTCCTTACCTCTGTCCCTTGTCTGCTCTTTGCTGTCTCAAGCTCCTGGTACAGAGGCCGTGAGTTCCTCCTTGTGTTAAACCTTAATCTCTTTGTCTACTAGCCCCCCTTTCCAGGGCTGTGGAGGAATCCTGGGCCGCATTCGTGTCAGACAGTGCAAACTGCAGCAGCAACTGCAGCTCATGGGCTTTCTTTTGGGAGAATATTAAATGTATCTGCCTTGCTTTTTGCCCCCTGTATGCAGACTTCCGTGATGGAGCAGAGCCTGGTATGGCTCACCCATTTGCCCCTTCCACGCTGAATCCCTTTAAACTCCAAGGCATCTCTGAGAGAAGCAAACAAGGGACCG